CGGGGGGACACCGGCAATTATGTTCCGTCCTTGTCGAATTAAATATTTAGAATATATATTGTAGTGCCCTCGTAGTTGTACTAAACCTCCCCGATTTCAAAGCGGGCACGCAGCGAAGGAAAGCGGCACCGCTCCCCTTTCCCCTACCTCCCTCCCCTCTGATCGCCTATAAACACTCATTCCTTGTTCTGGTGCCAAAATGTTTACCTCGATCGGTGCGCATATATACGTTTTCACCAGTGTCGAGGATCCACTGAACATTTAGAGTTAGAGAACAGGACAGAAGGCTGGCCGATAGATATGCATTGACGAACGAGATACCGACCGACGGCGACGGTCGCCTCAAGGTTCCTTTCGTCGCTCAGCAAAATTAGAACCTGGCATGCAGGCCTTTTCTTCTGAAGGGGCGTCAGCATCAGGTACCTGTCGACTAATCGACCTGTTTTAGGTGCAAGTTAAGTGAATATTAGTATGAAAACCTCACCGGAGCTGCAGACTGTGCCTAACTCGACGTTTGGGATAACGGTCTGATACTGTTGCTTGGGATGGCAGCTTGGACCTAGCTTGTCATAGCCAACTCCATACCTAGGACAAACAAAGACGTTTGGGATAACGCTGAAACATTGGACTCGGTTGCTTGGGATAGCAACATGGACCTAGCTTGTGATAGTCAGCTCCACACCAACGACGAATGAAGATGTTTTGAGTAATGACTCAATACGTGAACTCCGTTGCACAGATAACAACACTGAAAGCGTTTGGAATAACGTAGCAACAAGGTATGGCCAACAATCTCTTCTCATTTGCTTGTGATAGCAAATTTCATCTGATTTGTGATAACCATGGAACCGGACTGTAAGTTTCAACATGGCAGGTTAGGAAGTCGTTAAGACATATTTTTTCCTTATTACCAGATTGAGATTAGGTATCTTATGCAAGGTTAGCGTTACATTTTGCTTGTGATGACAAATTTCATCTGGTTTGTGATAACCTTGGAACAGCATAATAAGATTGCACAAGACTGTTTAGGAAGCCGCAGAATTACCACTTTTCATTAATAACAGATAGAGATTAGGTTCATATATGCGAGACTAGCGTTACATTTTGTTTGAGATAACAAATTCCATCTGGTTTGTGATAGCAATGTAGCAATATAGCATTTTTCATTTATAACAGATAAAAATTGGGTACATCTATGTGAGACCAGCGGTACATTCTGCCTGGGATAGAAAATTCCATCTGGTTTGTGATAACTATGTAACAATATTGTAAGGATGCACATGACAAGTTAGGAAGAAGTCGAAGTACCATTTTTCATTGATGAACGACAGAGATAAGGTACATCTATGCGAGACTAGCGTTACATTTTGCTTGTGATAGCAAATACCACGTGGTTAGTGATAACCATGGAACAGGTGTGTAATTATGAATGTCAGGTGAAAAAACCGCCAATGTATATCTTTTTCTTATCACCAGAGGTTAGCGTTACATTTTCCCTGTGATAGCAAATTTCATCTAGTTTGTGATAACCTTGGAACATCATTGTCAAAATGCACATGACAGTTTAGGAATTCAGTAAAATACAATTTTTTGTTAATAGCAGATAGAGATTAGGATTTATCCATGCGAGACTAGCGTTACATTTTGCTTGTAATTGCAAATTCCATCTGCCGTCGAACAGGTCAATAATATACACATGACAGGTTACGAAACAGCTGAAGAACTATTTTTCATTAACAACATATAGAAATTAGGTACATCTATGGTAGACTAGCGTCACATTTTGCTTGTGATAGCAGATTCCACCTGGCTGGTGATAACTATGGAACAGGACTGTACGTATGAACATGACCGATTAGGAAACCACCAAAGTTCTAATGTTTAGTAATATCGGAGATTAAATATCATTATGCCCGATTAGCGTTACATTTTGCATAGGTGGTACGCGAACAGCAGGGCGCTGTGGTTTGTGATATCTTAAAGGCCATTTAATCTGGTTTCAATAGATGACGCATCACCACAATGATCCGGCGACCTTAGTATAATTAATGTTCGGCTGACATTTCGAGGGCAGGTCTTGTTGATGACGATAGATGAATAATTATTTTCTATTCTAGCCACCTAGGAACCAGGTGAGGTAGCGGAAGCCATAATAGAAATTGTCGCACGCAGGCATGCGTACTTGGTCTGTGTACAGCAATATGTGAGCTGTTCATTAACTGCAAGTGGCAATACTCTATCCTCTAGGTTCAAAGGAGGGAGAGGAGCGCATGCTGGCAGATATTCACATTAAAGCAAAGAACTCGGGAGTACTCTGGCAGACGTTTCCATTGATATCTTGTTCTTCGGTGTAGGTCTGACCAAGTAAGTCTATTCTAAATAGAAATCAGTTAAATATGAGCAGCAACTAAAGGCCAAAAGGCTAGACAACGTACTGACAACAACAGATATCACCCATTATTGCAGATGAGGTATGTATATCAGCAGGGACATTGACGCGTATTCATCATCAATGGCAGAGCTTTAGGAGTGGCGCTAAAGTACCTGAGTTAGACTCAAGTGGTCACTTGAAATTCACGTGGCGACTGGTTCAGCACTTTTGCCATAGCTGAATCTCATTAGTCCATCTATGAACTACCGACCTTCGACAGTCTCTCAATTGTTTAGCTGCGGTGATATCAGTAAAAAAGTTTAACTAACTAAAAATCAGCACCTATCTAACTTTTCTTGCCCCCAAGTCTGATGGGTCAACATGTTTGGTTCCTTACCTCAAGTCACTTGTGTGTTTATAGGTATATAAGTCTAGGCTGTTGAACTGGGTTTAGACTTCTCCGTAGCGATACTTCCTTAACGAACTGGATTTGGCATATGCAGAGATTTTGGAACCCGTCAGGAGTGTCATAATATATTTCAGATTCATATTCAAAGGACACCTCTTCCAATACAATGCTGTACCGTTTAGGATAAGTTATGCCCCTCATGTGTACACAAAGTCAATAAAACCATTTTTTTTTTGTTCTGTTATTGGCACTGGTCGATGACCAACTGGCCAGATCTTTATGTTCAGTATAATGCTATGCTTTAATAGAAAATAGAACATCCATTACTTAATATTACTATTGTACGTTATATTATTTCTATTATACTTACATAGAGTATGCAAACACATTTCTCTTTTTTTGTTTTTTGTTTTTTTTTTTAACCAATACTTTTTACTTATTTTTTCCTTTTCTCTATTTTGTTTATAAGATTGTTTTTTTTTTTGTTTTTTTACTGATCTGCTTTTTTGTTTTTTTTTCAATATTTTCTTCTTTTTTTTCATTTTTTCAAACAAACTTACTGTAATTTACATTTTATAATGTTAGGCCTACTTTCCGACAATGCTTGTATAAAAGTTCGTAAACTTGCTGGTTCTCAGAACTGAGAATTGATTCTAAATTCAGAGCCACCGGAAGGTGATTCGCTAAAATTTTATACAATTCAGAATTTTCGTTGTTAGAACTTGTACATTCTAATATTAAGTGTTGTAAGGTTCCTATATTTCCACAACTGCAAAGTGGATCATCTCCGTGTCCAATTCTTGATTTATGATGGGACATTAGGACATGACCACTTCTTATTCTGCTCACGGTTCTAATGTAAGGACTTTTGGTAATTCGTTGAAACCAAGGTCTGCTTCGAAGAGTCTCTTGTATACGTTTTCAGGTAACTTTCTGTTGGACTGATTTTGTAATGGTTATTCCATTTATTCTTTAGTCGTTGTCTGATCAGAAAATGAGCGTCAGTAAAAGGAATCTCCATGCCCGGAACGTAATTGCCTCTAGTTGTAGCTCTTTTTGCAAAATTATCTACCATCTCGTTTTCTTTTATACCTGAGTGGCCTTTGATCCAGACTATGTTTATAGTTTTGTCGATTTTATTCAGCTCCTGAATGCACTTGATGATGTTCGCAATTAGATGATTAAGATATGCAGTGGGGTGACAATTCTCCAATTTTGTTACAGCACTTCTACAGTCGGTAAAAATAACAAAATTCGTATTTCCATGGAATTGGAAACAGTATTCAATAGCTTGGTTGATCGCAACCAGTTCTGCTGTGTATACCGAACATTCAGGTGGCAACTTGAATTCTTGGTGATACGAATTGTTGCTGTGATAAAATAAACATCCCGCTAAATTGTCTTTCTTCGAACCATCCGTGAAGATATATTCCCATACACTCCATTGTGTTCGAATATCATACCGGAATTTGTAAGGTGTTGATAAATCTAGTTCGGAATATTTCGTAAGATAACTTCGGGTGCAGAGTTATATGCCGGATATTCAGGTATGAAACATGGGTTGATTTGATTAGAGTGTACCTTCTTGACGGTAGGAAGAAGCCAATCATAACTCTCTATGATCAGAGGAAGCCTTTTGTGTTGCCAGTATTTCGCTGTTAATCCATGAATAAACAATTGGTGGATCTCGTTAATGAATCCCCTGCTGACCAATTTAACCAGGGCTTTATCGCTCAACATTTGTCGTCTCAATTGAAGAGGAGGTTCGATACATTCAACCTCCATGACATTGATGGGAGTGCTATTCAAATATCCGATACATAGCCTAAGGCACTTATTTTTGATCTGTTCTATTTTTTGAAGATGAATTCTAGATGCATTTCCATAAAGTATTGATCCGTAGTCCAAGATTGATCGAACTAAGGTCCTGTAAAAGGTTAAGCACACTGCTGGATCTGCTCCCCATTTCCGATGTGAAAAGGACTTCAGAATGTTAAAAGCATTCTGACTTCTCTTTAAAATGTATGTAATATGTTCTTTCCAGTTAAGTTTTTTATCTAGGATAACTCCTAAATATTTGACAGAAGTTTTATAAGATATATTCTGCCCAGCCAGAGTGATGATATTTGAAGGACTAAGGCGAGATCTGGTAAACGTACATACACAAGATTTTGAGTAGGCAATGGAAGATCCATTATTCTCAAACCATTCGTGTGCAATTTAAGTCGCTGTTTCTAGAAGTTCCATAGATTGAGATAAATTTTTGTTCTGGATACTAATGGCATAGTCATCTGCAAACTGATATATTTCAGCATCTCTTGAATTAAAAGCTCTTTCAAAGTCATAGGAATATATTATATACAAGATGGGACTCAATATACTCCCTTGTGCTATTCCTTTAGATGTTGAACGTGGTCCAATAGTCTGCTCAGAGGCTCTGATGAAAATGTTTCTATTGCTATACAGTAATAACAAATGGTTGGCAAGTTCTTTTGGAAGACCAATATTTATAATTTTACTGTATAGTATATTCAAGTCTACATTATCATAAGCTCCCATAACGTCTAAAAATATTACAGAAGTATGCGTGTTATTCGAAAATCCAATTTGGATATCAGTTGTTAACTTTATCAGTAAGTCTTGAGTAGACCGTCCTTTTCGAAATCCATATTGCGAGCTTGGGAGCAATTGGTTTTTCTCCAAGTAGAATTCTAACCTGTTCTTGATGAGTCTTTCGTAAGTTTTCAAAACGCATGAAGCTAGTGCAATGGGACGATATGAATCTTGATGATGTTCTGGTTTTCCAGGTTTCAGAACTGGAATAATTATATAATCGTACCAATCTTTCGGTATTTCAGCATTCCCACAATATATTTGATTGAAAATATCCAATAACGGGTGTTTCGTTGTTGTAGGTAGTTGGTATAACATCGAATAATGAATTTGGTCCTTTCCCGGAGATGTATTGTTGTTCTGTTTGAAGACTCTCTGTAATTCTATCATGGTAAAAGGTTGCATCAGTTCATGGTTGGTCCACGTTGAGATTCTTCTTTGGATGTTGTTACTTACATAATTTGGGGCCAACTTACAATGAAATTCCTGTACCCATTCTGCTGAAGCTTCTATAACATGATAATTACTCTGTCGCCTATTTTTATACAAGTTAACTTGCTTCCAAATTTGTTTAAGTGGGGTGTTACTATTTAAAGATGAACAATATTGACGCCAACTTTCTCTTTTAACCTTTTTGAATATTTGTTTGGCCTTCGCGTCAAGTTTTTTAAAATTAAGTAAGTTTTCGAGGTTTGGGTTTGTCTGATATAGTCTAAAACTATCCTTACGTTTTTCTACTGCTATATTACATTCATTGCTCCACCATGGTTTTCCTTTGACATTATTTTTGTTTTCATATTTCGGAATAGAAGCTTCAGCTGACTGGTTAACATTTTTGATGAAAGTGCTGTAATCTATAACAGGTTCTACATAAGATCTATTTATACTCTCGAAACAAAACTGATTCCAGCAAGCTTTGTTTATGTTCCATTTTCTATTTGATGCAAATGACATTTTTTCTGGAGTATAATTACAATTGATAAGTATAGGCAAATGATCTGAACCACATGGGTCTGGCAAGGTTCGCCATTCTAGCTGATGATGAATTTGAGGTGAACATAATGTAAGATCTATTGCTGATTTTGATTGATATTTTACATAAGTTGGATCTCCATTGTTAATAAAACTGAGATTACTGTCATCTAGAGCTTCAATCAGGATTTTCCCAAATACGTCATCCTGAGCACAACCCCATGAAGTGTGATGTGCATTAAAATCACCTCCTATAATACATGGACTGTGTAAGGAACTAAAAAATTGTATCCATTCCTGTTTAGTGATTTTAGTTTGTGGTTTAATATATACTGATACGAATGTAATATCTGAGATTCCTTGAAACTTTACTGTAGAACATACTTTCATTATTTTATTACAAGCACACCACATTTTGTTCTTCTAAAAGGTGTTCCAAATTACCTTTATTTGCTATAGCCGATCTACAATTCCATTGACATATCCTCAAAAAATTCATTGTGGTTTCTAAATTCTATTTGATGTTTTTCATAACGTACGAATACCTTGGTAAAAGTGTAAAATGATTAAAAATATACTGTAATTTTCTTAATTCTTAAACTTATTTGTCTATATTTAATCTTTCTCTTATGAGATTAGTTATAGTTGATTTATTCAAGCTGTTGATGTTTGTTTCTCTAAAATTTGTAAGAACAAATATAACCAATTCTGAAACATGTTGGATGAACGTCTCATCGCTCGTATTAAATTCATGTACACAGTAACTGGGGTTATTAGTGATACCCCCGGGTACCTGTGGAGTGTTTACTTGACTCACAATTTGTCTCCTAGCTTCTTCTGTCAAATCTGGCGAGGAAGGCGAGTTCCGTTTCATAGGTTTAGACAACCTTTGTGTAAAGTGCGAATTCGCATTTGGAATATTTATTGATGTTTGAGTGTTTGATGATTGAGATGGAAAATTAGAACTATTGATTTCTTGAGGCGTAATGGGATTATTTTTTGTAACTGAAGCATATGTGGTTTTTGGCACCGCATTCTTTGAGTCTCTAAAAGAAGAATTAGTCATTGCCATATGCTTTTTAATTGCCTTTTGCCTCTCAAATTCATTACATTTTGAGATTTCAAATGAGTAGTGACTGCCATCGCAAATTAAACGTTTTTGTTCCAAAGAGTCGTTGTGGCATGAGCTAGTAACATGTTCTTCGTGACATTTTGCACACCTAGGCTTGCTTATACATTGCTTACCCAAATGACCATAACGCATACAGTTATGACACAGAATTACCTTCTGTATATAATGATTTACATTAAAAAGAACGTGATTTATAGCAACACGCTTAGGCAATTCTTGCGCTTGAAAAGTAACTACAACCTTATTTAGAGGTAGATATTTAATGTCACCATTTTGATCTGATTTCCGGTGCATGCGTTTAACCGAATCCACCGAGAAAATACAGTGAGAATCTAAAGGTTTGATCCTCTCCAACAAGTATTCGTCTGATAAGTCTTTGTCCACCGAAATAACACCCTGTCTATATAAAATGAATTTGGGTATATAAACGTCTAAATTGATAGTTTTGAATAAAATCGTTTTATTTAACAGGACATTTGCTGCTGATGGATTTTTGAACACAATCCTTACCCTATTGCGTCCAATCGATTCAATTCTTTTAATCATATTGTCAACTTCAGGAATATTTTTGAGAATAGTTTCACCAACCTTAACTGGATTTAATTTACCTGAGAAATTTGGTTCATTGTTTTCGATATAAACATGATAGGGGCCCTTATCAGTTTGCTTATATGTTAAAAGCGGTCTATCTGCTTTTTCGGGAGATAATGTTGGAAGTTCTACCTGCATTACTCCTGATTGTAGATCATAGTCAATTGTATTATCATTACCGACCTGGGAATTATCTTCAATAGTTGCATACATTCAGACTTCAGAATAATTTCTATATGGGTTTCTCCCATTTCAAGTACAACATGATGCTATCAGAGATAAAACACTCCGCTACATCAATTCACCCAGAACCTCCTAGTCGACATCCATTCGAGGTCTGCCATTGTCACCTCTTCTACTGCGAATCCCTCTTCTAGGTAACCTGCCTTTGAGTATATTTTATGAACGTTAATCAAAAGACTTTAACCGAGAAGATGTCGATTACGATAACTTTAAGAGCAGAAAAATATTTTTCAGTTGATGATATACATAATAATAACTTCAAACCGTGCTCTTAACATGATCAGGAGGGACAAAAAGACATATATCGAAAATTTGGCAAATGAAAATGATTCAAAAAAATTGTGGAAGTCTCTCAAACAACTTGATATAAATTTTCGTACAAAACCAACCCTTCCGGCAAGTTTTAATGACCCTACCAAAATTAATGATTATTTTATGTCTGTTTATAGCTATAAACCTGTTGATTCACTAGTTTGCGAAAACTATTTCAAAAATAAATTAAGCTCTGAATATATTTTTTCATTGAATAAGATTAGTTCAAATGACGTATTACAGGCAATAGGGAGCCTAAAATCTGATGCGAAGGGAATTGATGGTATATCCTTGTCAATGATCCAGCTTTGCCTGTCAGTTATTCTCCATCACATCCTCCACATCTTTAACGACTGTTTGGAAAAAGGCTACTTTCCAAACACATGGAAACAAGCTCTAATTATTCCAATTCCTAAAAATGAGACCCACTGGGTATAATGATCTCAGACCTATCAGTTTATTACCAATGTTATCCAAAATTTTAGAAATATTATAAAATTCCAATTGACCGCTTACCTAGAAAAATTCTTTATACTTCCCGACACTCAATCCGGTTTTAGAAAAAATTATAGTGCAACATCTGCCCTACTTAATCTGCAAGACAATATTTTAAGTGCCTTAGATAAGAAAATGGCACTAGCCTTAATCTCTATAGACTATTCGAAAGCCTTTGATAGCATCAATCATAAATTATTACTTGCTAAATTAAATTACATAGGTCTTGACAGTGTATCCCTTTCATTTTTCGACAGTTACCTTCATCAAAGAACTCAGAGTGTTTTGCTCAATCAAGAAATGTCTCAAGTGACAATAATTCCCTCAGGCGTACCTCCGGGCTCTGTATTGGGGCCGCTTCCGTTCCTCATATACAGGGTGACTTCGAAGTTGAGTCATTTATTTTAACAGTGAGTAGATCTGATCAAAAGAAATGCTTTTTTCCTTTAACATTTTTCTGGTAAAATTAAAGTAACAAAGTTATAGCCCTTTAGAAGTTTGAGTACCGCCCTGTCTCAATAATAATATTATGTGCTCGTGTTTGGCAACAACGGATATAATCCGCCTTATCCGTTCATCGCATCGGAAACAAAAAAGCGAAAGAATTTGAAACGATGTTTTTACTACAATGTACAATCTTATTCAGTTGTATTCAGTCGATGTGTCAGTCGGTAACGCGTGAGTGAATAGTGAATAAAAAATGGCACATGTTTACGAAAATGCTGAATGTAGTACAAAGGGCTCGTGAATCAGGTGACTTAAGGCCTCACAGGGGAGAGCATGCCGGTGCTCCAAGGCCGCACGATCAAATACCGGTCCGCACTGAAATACTTGTCGGGAGGATACTTTATAAAACAAGGTAACATTTTTTTTAATTTTTATTTTATTTTTACACACATATTTTGGTTTATCTTCCTTCTACAATCATTATCTGAAAATTAATGAGTCACCCTTTATACGTTCGACTTAAGCAAAAGTATTGATAATTCTCATGTCCAGTCATTTGCAGACGATACGCAATTGCTCCATTATTTTAACCCAGGTAATGTCAATAATACTACTCAAATTTTACAAAACGATGTTAATAAATTAATTAAATACTGTTTAGATGGGTTGTCGGAAAAGTCATGACGTATATGCAACAAAGTATGCAATTGCAAGGTTGGAAGTACGTGAGTCAATGACATTTGTATGTTGATTGTGTAGTTTGACAGTTGACACTTCAAGCTTCATTTGTACCAAAAAATTAAGTGATTTATTTGAGTCTCGTCGATTTTAGAGGACGTTGAAGATGGACGACCAAACTGTGCATTTTCGTCACATTTTGCTGTATTACTTCCGCAAAGGCAAGAACGCAAGACAAGCGTGTGAAAAGTTGAGAAAGGTTTATGGAGAACATGCACTACAAGAACGGCAATGCCAGAGATGGTTTAAAAAATTCCGAGATGGGGATTTTGATATCCATGACGCACCTCGATCAGGGCGGCCTACTGAGTTGGATAGTGACGAATTAAAGGCATTGGTAGGAGCAAACCCACATTACACCACACGGGAAATTGCAGAAACCTTAAAAATCCATCATTCAACCGTTCACGACCATTTGAAGAAACTGGGATACGTAAGCAAATTCGATCGTTGGGTACCACACGAACTGAGAGAGGTTCATTTGACGGCGCGTATAGACATCTGCGATATGCTCCTTAAACGTGAGGAAAACGATCCTTTCTTAAAGCGCTTGATAACGGGAGATGAAACGTGGATTGTTTACAACAATGTGGTTCGCAAACGGTCTTGGTCCCGAAGTGTAGATATGCGTAACACGATCGCGAAAGCAGAGAGTCATCAGGAAAAGGAAAAGGATTGGTGGGATTTTAAAGGGATCGTGTTTTTCGAACTCCTGCCAAAGAACCAAACCATCGATACAACTGTGTATTGACGGCAACTGGACAGTTTGCAACAATCCATCATGCAAAAACGTCCGGAGCTCATTAATCGCAAAGGAGTTGTGTTCCACCATGACAAAGCGAGACCGCACACAAGTTTGCTCACTCGTCAAAAGTTATTGGAGTTAGGATGGGATGTGTTACCACATCCAGCATACTCGCCTGATCTTGCCCCATCTGATTTTCATTTGTTTCGGTCGCTTCAAAATTCCTTGCGAAAAATACGCTTTACTTCAGATGAAGCTGTACATCAGCACCTTGTTCAATTTTTTGCCGGTAAAGACAAATCCTTCTACGAGCGAGGAATTATGAAGCTGCCTGAAAGATGGCGAAAGGTCATCGATCAAAATGGGCAATACATTATTGATTGAAGTTTGTGCTGTATATGAATAAAATGGCCTTAAAATAAACAAAAAAAAGCGTCATGACTTTTCCGACAACCCATACTTATTAATCCACAAAAATCTAAAATGTTATTATTTTGCGCACAAAGAAAAACATACAATGTAACACAGCTCTTGAACATTCAGATAAATAACCAAATTTTGCAATTTTCTAATTCTGCAAAAATTCTTGGTGTTGTTTTTGATACAAAATTAAGGTTTATTGAACATGTTAAAAGTCTATCTCAGAAAACCTACCTACGGCTGCGCAGTCTTATAGCAAACAGGTATTTACTAAATTTTAAGTTGCGTAAAAAACTATGTGAAGCATTGGTCATATCTATACTAAATTATTGTAATATCGTATACTATACTTGTTTAGACAATTTCACTAAAAACGTTATTCAAGTTATTCAAAACCATTGTATACGATTCATTTTTGGCTTACGTAAATTTGATCATGTATCAGCGAAATATCCCGTTCTAAACTGGTTAAAAATTAATGACATGGTCAAGTATCACTATTCAGTTTTTGTTCACAAATTGCTGCTCACGTCTAAACCTTATTACTCGAAGGAAAAAATTTCATTTAATAATGATGTTCACTGTAGAACTCTCAGAGAAAATAATATTAGAATACCCCTGCATACGTCTACACTTTTTAAACGCAGTTTTTCTTACAATGTTGCTATTATTTATAATGACCTTCCTAAAGTATATAAAGAATTTTCATTACCTGTCTTTCGACAAAAGTTAAAACATTATTACTCAACTCTCCAAACATATAATTTACGTAATCATTCATTTCTTTTTATTCCATCTTTAATTCAGATTAATAATTTTTTGGTGCATTTGGGTTTGGAAAGTATGCCTTTTTCTCTTTTCTTAAATTTTACTTTCGATGTAATGATCCAAATCTGTTTGTGCATAGTGTATTCTTTTGAACATCTGCTAGAGACTATATGGTTAATATAAGTCTGACATTTGGCTGTACTACAATGTAATTGTGGATAAATAAAGACGTCTATTATTATTATTATTATAATATTGGAAATAAAATCACTTTACCGCATGCTATATTTCAGCAGCTTTTGTAGCGATGCCCTGGCATTCCTCGTAAATGAGATGCATATCTGGGTACTCGCTAATTAATTAATTTAATTAAGAAAATGTGCGTCTGTTAGTAAGCCGTAAGTATATAAAAAATAGATGAGATTGAAGGACTAAAATATTGTAAAGGGTTAAAAATGAACTAATAAATTACTTACTGGCGAATCTGGGTTTACCTTTTGGCCACCCTCTTTTCTTTTTATTCTTAGATTGCATAAAAGATTGTGCTACACTAATGGAAGTTGTATCTGTTGAATCATCGGATAAGGAGTTGAATACTTCTTCAGCAGATCCTACATTTTTCTCATTCAGGGTTGCTTCTTCGTTTCTGTGTCTGGAGGTTTCTCCAAGGGCAGGGGTAGAAGAAAGAGCATTTGAAGCTCTGTCATTATGAACTTCTAGTTGGAGTATACTTCTCATAGCAGCAATTATAGGCGGAAATAGATCTTGTATAAGACTTTTAGTATCTATTTGAGGAGGCGCACTAACTGCTTGGGCATAGGTTGTTCGAGGTTGCGGTGTATCAATAACTACTCTTTTTTTTGCTTCAATATATCCAATGCGTTCTTTCGTTCTTAGATTTTGGATTGCAGATTCTTGCTTATAGATAGGGTATCCTTTTGATCGACTTGAATGATTTCCACTGCAGTTTACACATACAGGTGGATCTTCACAAGCAGTATGAGTAGGTTTGTCACATACACAGACAGGCTGACTACTACATTTTGATGCGGCATGACCAAATTCCGGACATCTAAAACACCGTAATGGGAAAGGAACATATAAAGGCGTACAGGAAGCGAGTAGAAAGCTATTTTCACTTTATCTGGTAATTTAGTTCCATCAAAGGTTAGAATATGAGTAGGTGTATATCTTATTTCATCGCCTACTCCAGTAGTAACACGCTTTACATGAATAATATTATGTACTCTAAGTTCATCTCGAATTTCCTCTATTGTGCAATTAAGTAAATCTTTGCAGGATATGACACCTTTCGTGACATTAAGAGTTTTATGTGCTTGTACTAAGACTTCTGCGTCTAGATATCTTGTTAGAGCTTGTAACTTGAATGATTGTTTTTCAGATACACATTCGACTAATAGTCCCTCACGAGTTTTACTTATTTTTCTCTCCTACACGACCAAACAAACTTTTCTGGATTACAAACGGGCTCACTGTGGCATAATCCACCATTCTTTTTAACGATGGTGAAAAACTGGGGTGCTACCGCCTTTTCTTGACACGATCGTGTTTGGGTTTGAGGTAGACCCAATGCCCCTAACGTGTTTGTTCTTGTGTTATTCATACTAATTCCACGAGTAGCTAGGGAAATAAATGGTCACCAACAACAGAGCCCTGCATGTTGAAGGAGCCCTGTATGTTGAACGAATGCAAAATACGACTGGAGGGCGCACAGTTTCCAGAAGGCGCGTTCATGACTCACTATCGTAGAGCCAGTCACCCCTCGGCACGGTACGCTTAACACCTTGGGTTCCGGATTTTGTTAGGTTGACTCCCAAAATGTGTCCAGATGAGGTCCATGTCAAAGCAGTGTCATCTTCAAGCAAAACCGGTAAGCGAAAAAAAAGAATGACCAATGACTCACATCTAGGCGCTGATTTGTATTTTCTATTGACATCGCAAAATAAATTTCTAAAAAATTTAAATGACTGGAAATAAAAAATAAAGTAATAACCTTTTCACTTTCATAAATATTCCTGTCTGTACCATCTTTTCTCAACTGTTACTGCACCAACCAGGGATTTTCTTTTCTTATCTCTCAAATTTTTGAAATTCAGCAAATTTGCATATGTAGAATGCATAAGAAAAAGTGGATGCGTAACTAATTTCTAGCTTTGAATCTCAAGTAAGTGTATTTGAGACAAGAATCCAATGGAATTATCATCAACACATATTATTAGCACACACATCCTCACTATGCACCTATAAATTGCCATTTCCTGCTAGCTATAGTATACAACTTACAGCTTAAACCTTCAGTAATGCCATCTCTGAAGCAGATTTTACATCACATCAGAGCCCAACATTTAAAACTGGGCTGAAATACTTTTGTGTGCCTAAAAATCGGTCCCCTGAAATGTAATCTACTGTTTGGGCTAACCGTAAGCAATTTGTACAAAAATGACAGTGATTCGTTAATGTAACACTGTGTGTTAATCAAACTACAACATGAAATTTAACTAAAATTTTATATTTATTGTAAAATTTTAGTAACACTGTTGTCTTTTCCAGTAGCGCAGTAGTTTCCCATACAAAATATTACTGTCCCTACACATCAGTCTCATGATATAGAGACCAGCCTCGCGTATTCTCTGCTAGATGTGCTCAAAATTACTTCATTCAACCCAGTTTAGGGCTCCAATAGATACGATTTACTTTGAACGTGAAACGAAATAAAAAATATTTTATATTGTGCCCCAGCAAAGCACAAAATCTTAACTACCCTGAGTTTCTATGTGAAAATAGAACTTAAAATAAGTGTATTGCTAAAACATGTACCTCATTCCATTTGACTTGATGTGACTATTAATTCGAGCAGTGGCCGTAGCTGACTCAGCGAATTGAAGTAGTCGCTTGACAGCCATTATAAGAGATGCGTGTGTTTATTGTGCGATTTCTGAGTTACCGTCAAAGAAATGTAAGTAAAGCTGATATTTGATTTATGAATTTGTGATTACATAGTCATTTAGGTATATTCTCCAATGCCGATAATGAAATTGCTTTGGGTTGTGTGATTGAGTGCAGACAAATGCAATAATCAAAAATTGACCACTGCGTTACCAAAAAAAGTAACTCAGTTGTTTCGCTAGTAACACAGCTATTTTAGGTGCACTAGTGGAACCGAAATACCCATTCGACATTGATTTTAGAAAGAAGCTTATCAACGAAATGGCTATGACACCAGCGGAAAAGCAGCGTCGGTATAGGCTGAAGTTGAAGCTGGACCCCGTAAAAAATGATGAAGCCTAAAGAAAACACCTTGAAAGGTACCACGCCAAAGAAAAACTAGTGAAAGGTATGACTGAGCGAGAGCATAGAGCTGCTAAGCGTAGATGGAAGATTGCAAATAAGAAACGGCGAGAACGACAAAAAGCTGCACAGCAACTGGTAGAAAACCACCACGTTCAGGAACTCCAGATTCTCCCAGGTGTAGAGGCCGGAAACGGGTGAGACGCGACCGATCTGCGTTATATAGACAATATGTGAAATTACAGGAAGAACTGGAAAGACTAGAAAAGAAGTGTAATAAGTACAAGAAGAGGTATCAAAGGGTTAGACAGCCTAGGATCAATCCTGATAATAATAAATATTCTAGATTATCAAATGCTATTAGGGTTCATTACAAAGGACTGACAACAGTAAAAGAAAAGAGAGCTCTAAGACAAGTTTTCCACGGAGAAGCCATATCAAAGTGAAAAATGAAAACTGCTATTGTACGTGGGACTTTGGGCATTGACCAGCTAAAACGAAAGCTGACTCTCTCTAAGAAATCGGACCTTGTTGGAAAAATCAAGGAGTTCTTTAATCGCGACGATGTTTCTAGAACTACAGAAGGAAAGCGAGAAACTGTAACCTACAAAAAAGTAAAAAGTCAAAAACGATATTTACTGGACACAATGAAAAACCTTTACTGTTCATTCATACTTCATAAGACATCGACCGTTCTATGCAAAGCCGCCTACAGTTGATGGTAGAGAAACTTGCCTATGCAAGTTACACACTAACACGCAGTATATGATCAATGCTCTCCATAAAAACAAAATCATTCCTGTTCCAAATATGAGCAACCTCGTGACAAGCTTAGCATGCTCAACAAATAGAAGAGCGTGCATGACCGGTAACTGTGGAGACTGCAATACTAAACAAATAGTATGTAATATACGGAATCACCTTCACTCACAATAAGTTAAATGGCCTCAGTGTGTTAGAAAGTGTGAAGTGATAGAGAGGTCAAGTAAAAAAGTGAAGATTACAAAAAACGTAAAAGAAATTGTTGAAGGGACTGTTCCAGAATTAATAGGAAGGTTTAATAAAACCCTGAGAGAATTGAAAAAACATAGCTTTAACATAACAACACAGTATAGGAGTTATAGAGATGTTATAGATAATTTGAAGAGTGATGAAATCGTTCTACACATCAATTTCAGCGAGAACTATAGCTGCAAATGTTTTGAAGAAGTGCAGTGCCATCATTTTGGCGGCTCGAGAAAGCAGGTTACATTACATACTGGAGTTATGTACACCAAAACAGAAGAAGAGGACAAACCGACGATAATGTCATTTTGTACCAACTCTCACACTTCCATGTCTATTTGGACACACCATCCAGTTATTAGCAATTTAAAAACTGTACTTCCTAATATAACAACAATCCATTTCTTCTCCGATGGTCCTGCTACTCAGTACAGGCAGAAACTAAATTTCTATTTCATATTTACGGAAATATTCAAGTACAACTTCGTTCGCGTCACATGGAACTTCTTTGAAGCAGGTCACGGCAAAGGTGCCGCTGATGGTATTGGTGGTTACCTTAAACGCACTGCAGATAAAAAGGTAGCGACTGGTTCAGATATTTCTGATTCAGAAACTTTTTTCCACACATTGAGGAACTCGAGCAAGGTCCGTCTGTACTTAGTGACTGATAATGACATTGAAAATGTCGAAAAAACTGTACCAAAAAATGTAGTACCACTCCAGGGTACTATGCAGGTTCATCAAGTTTTCACTGATACTCCAGGTGAATTAAAATATAGAGACCTTAGTTGTTTCTGACAAAGAGGGTTTTGCTTATGCTTGGATCCAAAAACCTATCGGCCAGTTCCTACTCCCGTCGTTGGCAAAATCAGCAACTCTACAGAAAAGAGTTATGCAGATGGATTGAAAAACAAAGAACTACTGGCCGATATATCCAATGTCCCTACCGAATCTAGAAGAAGTTACTACAGCATGGTTTACTCCCCATCTTCTAGCTCTGACGAAGAGGTTCTTGCAAACTTGGACCAGCCATCTGTGTCTAACGTGAAAAAAAAACAGCTAATCCATAAGGAAAACGTTCATCCATCGAAGATATCAGATGGTGTTTACGTTTTAGTTAAAATTTCTTCCGTTAACGACAAACATTATACTTACCTGGGAGTGGCTAAAAGTACTGTTGATGAAGAGGGAGACGTCAAGGTCATGTTTTATAAGACTGTAGATTGTACTTCTAAAATTTTTAAAGCAGTCGAGACTGATATATCTTACGAACCTTATTACAATATCTTGCAAATCGTTCTTAATCCTAAAATGGTCATGAAAGGTAAACGAGCATACTTCGAGTTTGACGTACCATTGAACGTTTTTGAAAAATAAAACTTATGTAAGTTTGCCTAATAGTTTTTAAGATGTTGAATTATTTTTGTTACTTTATGGTTGTGCAAATAATTCGAAGTATATACTGTACGAAAATGAAGTTTATAACTTACAGTTATGTTATTTTATATTGCGTTATGACCTCGGAAGTTCATTTTTCAGTTTATTTTTGAGCCTACTAGATCTACTTTATGAAGGCATAAAGTGATGTGAGTATGATACCACTTTGTTACTGTGGTTACCATTGCGTTACCATTTTGTCCCCAGTTTTGAACAGCATTAAGAATAATGTTTGTGTTTCTTGTAAGTGAAAATTGTCTTGATTCCATATGTACCTGTTTTTCACCAAAAGTCCAAGCTTATCTCGCTATTTTGATTTAGTATACGCTTTTTGCTGTTGTTATTTTATATAAGTTTATGTCTATAAATACGACATTAGTAACGTAGTTGTCTTAACTATAACAAATATATCTTTGAACTGATCAGTTCTGTGATATTACTTAATGGGAGGATAGTATTAGTGGTACAGTTCAAGGGCGCCAGAGTAGCGAGCTCAGCAGCGATGTTTCGAAAATAAAATTTCATTTTGTAGTAAAGTAACGCTGTTGTTTGACTTCACGACCACTTCCTACATAAACTGCCAAAATCATTGTAGTCTCATTGAAAACTTCGCTGCAAATGTAACCATAGCATGGAACAAACTATTACCATGATGTAGCTGCCATAAATTATAAGAAAATATCATATTGGTTTTCCCAGTTTTTTTCCTAAACTACATCTGGAATTAGGCATCGAAAAGTATTTTGGCCCAACTACAACTCGTCGTTGCTTCTCAAGGCGGTCCGGAGGACCTTAGCCTTTAGGTCATAGTCACTGTAATGTCAACGTCTGTTGTCAGTCTGTCAGGTCTGGTCGCCCAGAAACCAGACAAGTTGTGAGGAACGGGGAGAGGGAGAAAGAAAAGAAGGAAGTAGAAGCGAAAAGAGAAAGAAAATGAATTGTTTTATGTAAATATTTGAGGTGTGATAGCTCTAAGAATTGTGACATTGTACTATATAAATTTATGACTAGTCCTGAACTGAATTTTGGGTCTTTGGTTTTTAAAAGCTATAATTTTTTAATGTCTGAACATGAATTTAATTTTGTTCACAGTGCGAGTCGCGGCCTGTAATATTTGGATATCTCCTCGACTGTGTAATCCACTGCTTTACGCAACAAAGGGTTGCTGTTAGTGGTGGGCAAAAAGTATCTATCCAATACAAAAGATCCGATACTTTCCGAAGTCAGAAGTATCCGATACTTGTTGGTAAATGTATCGAATACTGTAATAAATACTGACAATCTGACTATTTATACATACTGTAGTGTAGACAGAGAGTGACAGAAAAATAATGTACGGTTATGGCCAAATAATTTTCAGCAGCTGTGGATGTCCAAGTATCTGTCGTAATCGTCAAATACTTCTTTACTTTCTGAATAACTTCATCATATGTTTGGGTCAACAAGCTGTTGCTTAAAGTTTTTCTTGAAGGAATTTTATAAGCAGGATCAAACTCTTCTAACAATTCTCTGAACCCTTCATCTTCAAAAATTGTAAATGGCTGCATGTCTTTTATAATCATGTTTAAAACTTTTATATGCAGGTTCTTAGTACGCGGAATAGACATTGGCCTCGTAGCAAAAGTCGATATTTTAGATTGTTTTGATGGGGGAAAAGGCATTCGCCTTTTGTCCTGATCAATTTTTTTGTGGCGTCATAAGCCGAACTTCCTGGGGTGACTTCCAAACGTGTAGAAGAAGTTGATGGTCCGGTTATTTCCTCCAACTCCGCGTTATTACCACAAATGCTTCGCCTTCAAATGTTTCCTCATTGCAGGTTGCACCACCTTTATAAGGGATAAGACATTTTTGCAAATGTCACACTTTGCTTTATTTGAATCAATTGCATTGAAATACAACCAAACACCACTTTTTCTTTTATCACTCATATTTTATTATATTTTGAAAAGAGAATATATTATATAGTACACTAAGCACGTATAAACTTATGTAAATATGTAAGCTGTACTATTTGATATGACATAACCCAGCAGTTCTTCTGAACGCAACGTCGAGGCCGACACGTGAGATTCCCAGAACTCGTTAAGCTAAGGATGTTGATGTCTACCTTCACGTTTATGTAGATGTCGATATCGATATTCGATATAGATTCGGTCTTAGGTATTGGGAACCAAAAGGTTAACAAACTAAGGCAGTCTTACGAGATTGGTAATTTGAATACGATTTTTGGGTTGTTGCACGTTCCGGTTGTCAATTGAATATAGGCTAACTTTTAGGAATTAAAGTGTTTCTTTTGATTTCTAACACTTAACTGAAGCAAAAGGTTGAAATTAATTTCTGGTTACAAAAGCCCAGAATTTATATTTTATTTTTAACCAATATTGTAACAATAACAAATATAGCAATGTAATTTAAAATTCAGGGTATCGCTCATCACTACTCATCAGTCATTTCTAATTTCTAGTCTATACTCGATGATACCTACTTATAGGAGACCGAGACCGCATAATAACAGTAAACAAACAGTAAGCAATAAATTCGAAGGTCGGGACCTGGATCAGCGACATAAAGACACGAACAGGATTATTATTATTTATTATTATTTCACACTAGCAGTATTAAATTAACGCATACTAACGGCAATTAATCGAGCCGATACTTGGTATCGGTATTGCATACTCAGTATGGGATACTTACAGATCAAGTATCGGTATCTATTCGATACTTGCAAAAGTATTGATTACCCACCACTAGTTGCTGTGCGATTCCGCTTGCTGGTAGCGGCGTTGTGCCATACCTATGACGTAATCCCTAAGGTAGGGGATGTCAAGATCTCTATGGATGGTATCGTTTGATACATACCTTGGGACATTAGTTATTGTTTTGAGAGTTCTACTCTGCAGAACTTGTAGTTTACGCATAATATGTGACTTAGCTAAAAAGTACCAAGCCGCACATGCGTAGGTTATTGCAGGTCTGATGATGGTTTTGTATATCCGAATCTTATTGACCAAACTCAATTTTGATGTTCTACATAAAAGAGGATACAATTGCCGAATTGTAATTTGAAATTTAATTTTCAGTTGTTCAATGTGTGACAGCCAAGTCATACCCTTGTCGGGTGTAAGACCTAAATATTTGGCTTTGTTAGCCCATGGTAACTTGAGTAGTTTTAATAGCCAAAAAGGGAAACCATTTTGAATAAGTTTATAGAGGAGAAGTGCGTTCCACACCTTGTCAAAGGCTTTCGTGACATCTAGAAAAAGGATTCCCGTGCTCTTGTCGTGGATTAATCCGCTGGTTATAAGCTCCACGAGCCTTCAGATCATTTATATGACCTTAAGCTCTGCTGGTGTGCAATACAGAATAACTGATGAAGACTCTGTCGGTGTTCTATGCTGAGCTTCTGTTGAAGAATCTTCCGAAGAGGAATCTTCCGAACAGGATCCACCAGCTCTAGGAGTGCTGCCGCTGGCGTCATAAACAGCAAAATACCTCCTAACAGAGCTTACAATGTCTCGTTGTTCGTCGAGATCGTTATCGAGATCATAATTTGGCGAGAACTGTTTTTCCATGACATCAGCAAAAACTCTCGCTTTATCCTCAGTCCTGAAGACTACGCCTTCAGGGCCTTGGATATGCGGAAGTTGTTCCCGTTCGCCATTTTTGAAGGACTTTGCTACTTTCCAAAGAGAAGTAGCGTTGCCAAGCATTCCTCCAAGAAAGTTGTTCCATTGCTCGTTTCGGAATTCGTGAAGTACGTTTCTTACTTCGTGAACAAGATTCGTAGCTCTACGGATGTCATCAGGATGGCAAGGCCTTTTTGCCTGCTTGATTGCAGCTCTTTTGTCAGCAATTTTCTGATGTATGTCCACAGGGACCAAAGGTCTGCCAGGCCGCTGCACAGGAACTACTGCCGCCCGCTGTAGTGTTTGTTGGACAGATCTTGTCCGCTCTGCTTGAGCGGCATCTATATCATTTTCGTCAACTACTCGTATAATCGGGATATCAGGAAACTCGGCCAAGAGCGATTTGTACAGTTCCGAATCGACGCGTTTCCTAGAGCAGGCTTCCCTGTCCAAGGTATCCTCAGTGCCCACCTCAAGAATAACGGGAAGGTGATCGCTTGAGACGTCATACATAACTCTAGAAGAAACACGGAAACCGCAGTTTCTGGATATCGCAAAGTCTATAACATCTGGTACCTGCAGGTAGTTAAAGAGGTGGTGTGTCGGCTCATCAGTGCTGTGAATGAAGCATCCATTTCGCATTACATAGTTATGCAGGCGAACACCGCAAGCAGTGTTGAGCCTGGAATGCCATGCACGGTGCTTGCAGTTGAAATCAGCTGCCACAATCAGAGGACCCGAGCAATTCAAGTCCGCTTCTTGAAGCCGAGGACCGCACCTCACATACACCGTTGTGATTTTCAATGGGATGCCTCCCATCATATTGACCACCACAGAGGCAGCTTCAATGCTTTGCATTTAAGCATTGGTGCCTCTGTCATAATCAATACCATACTTAACAAGCACGGCCAAGCCGCCACCTCTACCATTCAACCTGTCAGCACGAAAAACATCATAATTCGAAGACGAAGCGATCTCCGGGCTTTAAAAAAGTTTCCTGCAGCAATACCACATCTATTGACTCGTCGAAAAGGGCCTGGTGAAATTCTCGTTTCTTACCGACGCGACGTCTCTCAACCCACAACAGTTCCAGAACATAATTTTGAGAAAAGCAGGCTGTCTATTATACTTAGCCATCTAGCGGAAAGATCGCTTGCCACGCCTGTGTTGTGCTTATCAGAGGAGTAATAATTTGTTGGAGTGACTTGAGCGCGGTCGCCAGGTCTACTTGTTGAGAGTCCAAAGCAGGAGCTGCGGCTGAACTGACAGCAGCTGAAGGCCTGGCTGTCATTTCGGCATAAGAGTTTTTGCGCGTTTCGGCTATAACCTGTATGTTCCTCTTAGGGGTGAACCTGCACTTTGGACTGTTGGCAGGGTACCCGACCCCACAGTTTGCGCATTTGCGTACCTCCTGTCTTGTTTGGGGGCACAATTATGTTAAGTGGTTCTGTGCACATTTCACACATTTGGGTGGCGCAGTACAGTAAGACTGGGCGTGCCCATACCTCTGGCAGCGGTGATACTGGCCAATGAGTTTATTATTCTTTTGAACCTCAACCTTAATTGAGCGGCCAAATAGTTCTTTTTCATTGAATAATTCATGTGATTTTTCGATTTTAGGAAGTATCACCACTACCAACAGCATAGGAGCGCCTCCACTACGTTTTAATCTGATCAGATGGAGAGGGGTATATCCTTTCTGGTCCAGCTCCTGCTTTATCTCTTCCTCCTTGAATGACGTGGGGATACCGCGTAGGACAGCATGTATGTTTCTTTCCGATGGCAGGGGAAAGGTATGATGGGCAATATTTTTCTCTTTGAAATGCCGAATTATCTTTCTGTAATCGTCCTCGGTTTTGGGGACGATTCTAATGCCCGCGTCACTTTTCTGGCTCCTTCAGCACGACCGGGGTGATGCGCCTCGGTTGAAGCTGCTGCGCCGCTGTGCTGGCAGAACCAGAGGGTTCAGCGGTAGTATAGGTCTGTACGTCTTTTAAGTTTTGCATATAGAAATAAAACAACACGGTAGGTAGTTTTAAATGACTTCATTGTTTTTCGAAGTATTTTCCACGAAGACTAATACACATCTGCATGCGCTCGAACCAATTTTCGAAGCACTTATTCCACTCGTTTGCTGGAAGATCCAAAACGGCATTTTTGAATTCGTCAACTGCTTCTTCTGGTGACTGGAACCTTTGACCACGCAGTCTGTATTTAATTTTCGGGAAAGTAAAGAAATCGTTTGGACATAGATCGGGACTACTTATATGGAGGATGGTCCAATAATTCCACGTTTTCTTCGTTAAATACTGCCTTGTTTTTTGGGCTGTGTGCGAGCTTGCATTGTCTTGGTCGAGGATGATTCTTCTTTCGGGCTTGATTTTTCGAAGCTCGTTGATGACTTTTGGCAAACAAATGGTAGTATACCAATCCGCAGTAACAGTTCTGTGCTCATTAAGAGGAATTGTTGCAATATGACCCGCTTTTGACACAAATGTCGCGACCATCTTTTTCGAAACACTTCGAGAACGGATTACTTTTTTTGGCTTTTCTTTACCTTGGAACACCCAAACAGCCGACTGTCGTTTATTTTCTGGTTCATAACAATAAATCCACGATTCATCACCACTAACAATGCTGTATACACATTTTTTGAGTTTCCGGAATTGAAACGGTCAAGCGTTTTTTGACACCAATTAATCCTGGCTGCTTTCTGCTCTTCAGTCAACAGCCAACGAGAAATTAATTTTCTTACTCCTAATTCTTCATGTAAATTTTTTTGAATTGAGGTCTTTGAGATCTTCAAGGACGCCTCAATCTCGCGATATATCACATGTCTATCTTCAATGATGAGTTTGCGCACAGCATCGACGTTTTCCTGGGTGACTGCCGTTTTTGGTGCACCCACCCTGGGATCGTCGCTAAGACTCACCCGTCCACGTTTGAATTCTCCATACCAACGGGAAATTGTCGACTGATGTTGCGCTTCGTTGCCGAAAACAGACAGTAACTCAGCAAGGCATTCTTGTTGCGATAATTGTCTCTGAAAGTTGTAATAAATTATGGCGGGAAAATGTTCTCGGTTGAGTTCCATTTTTCTAATGACTTGGTGACACTTAAAAATTCACTGTAGTGAGAACACTGCACGTATTGTTGTGAATCTTTGAATTTAAGTTTACTAAAGAGTGAGGTTAAGATTCAGTACTGACGTTCGATCCGCGCGGCCTACTATGTTTCCATATGCAAAACTTAAAAGACATCAACATCAACAATATTGAATATGCCTTTCACGCCACCAACTAGAGACTTTCTTATAAATTATGGGGCGTAGGTTCGATTCCCGATTGTATCTAAAACATGCCATTGCGCTTTGAGTCCTATGTTCTAGGTAAGCCAACCTCACTATAACTACTATAACATCCAATCTCACGGACGGCAACCAATGCCCCAATGCGTATAGATACGCAACCAAATTTTCGAGAGGAACAGGAATCAAAGTGAATCAGACTCGAAAGGAATCGGAATCGTGAACGAATCGAATCGAAGTAATCAATTCCGAATTGAATCACCAAAAGGAACAGTTTCGCCCAGCTGTAACGGATAGGCGAGTATTTCACTTGACTTCTCCCATCGCTCTACAAATTTATAAATCTACCAGTACAAATGTTTGATAATTACAAAATAGATGGCGCGCAGCTCAAGGCTTTATTGAAGAACTTCTAAATCAAATTCAAGCGGATAACCAAATGGAAATGGTATTTTGGGTTAGTATTTACCAATCCGTTCAAGCGAGTGTAGTTATCAGTTTGGTTATAAGATCCGTGACGTCACGAATCAGCTGTTATATGTCATAGTTATCACCGCAAAATTGTGGTATTTATTTACCCAACTCAAGAGTAGTTTTATATTTCTGGTTATTATTTGAAATGTGACAAGTTAGAATTTTGCCGGGTATTGGATATTGTTATTGTACTTCAGCTTTATTTTTGAGAAAAATGATACAGGCTGACTTCAGTTTTACCATAAAGTGGAGCACCTTATTAGTTATACTCATTACGGTTGTTGGGGACACTTTAAATGTAGTTCCTATGCTTAACAAAGTATCCTGTGTAGCCATATACCACAAGAATATTAAAATATGGCCATATAAACTCACTAGATGATATCCACCTGTATACGGTTTTGCTAATTTCTTTTTTCATCATTTCTGCTGAATCAATAAATGTTTTCTTTGACATGCGGAAAAATTTAGAGAACTGAAAGTTATCATAGCTATAAAGCCATGGTTCCATCATTAAAAAAAAAATTCTGAAGAACATTTCTCCCATGAATATTATGAAAGGTTTCTTATTTAAACTTTCCATATACAGTTGTAGACGAAAAAGCACCGATTATTAAGTGATAATAAAAATAATCAGAGATTATATACGCGCTTTTCTAAAATAAACAACTTGCAACAAAACCGCGGTTAAAACCAACGCGTTCAAGCGATTCGTGTAACTGACGTCATCAACCCGTGTGTCATCTTGAACCATATTATAACCGCGGCACATAACACAGAAATTTTGGTTATTCGCTTGGATTTGATTATTTTTATGCGGTATCGCTGTTTGTTGACGTTGTAGAAAAACCGACGATATGTCACTGTTTAGGATACGTAATACCCGCGCCGATTTTTACAATCTACAATACTAAACTGTGAAGAAAAGACGTGGAAATGTATATTATTCAAAAATTTAAATAATTTTTACAGTAATTTCCAAAATAGTTTAGACTAACCATATGCAACTATTATTACGTAGTGGTCTACAGCCGTTCCCTTATCAGTTTTTGAACTTGACCTTATCGTCTTCGTCCCTAGATGGCAGGACCAATACGTTTTTAACATCTGTTTTTCAAAATTATTGCAACTGTTAAGTAACAATTGTATTTTTTCTTGTTTTCAACCTTTACAATAAACTTTATGTGAAAGGTACACACAAAATGTGACCCCAAAACAAACAAAACAAAATCATTATTCTTTTCGAGCCTATTATCTTCAAATTGGAAACAAAAGATGACATTTCACCACCACGCGCACTGCGCGGTGATATTGACACATCTGTTGGTGTTTTTGTTGTTTTTTCAAACAAGACTGCATACTCAACCTCAGGCAAAATTACAAAATAATCAGCTGTTTCTTTGTGAGTTTGCTTACGTTTTAAACTGAGGAGCAGGTGTTAATGGGGCTTACAGCCATGTACCATCTACCATGGGAACAATTGCGTCCGTGTTACAATGGCATTGCACTTTTTGCAGCCTGATCAACCCTACAGAAAGGCAGAAATGCATTAGATGTGGCAGGGCTAGGGTGCAGGCGCCCCCCAAAAAATTGTCGCCCACTTTCAGCACCCTAGAAAACAGGAACTGTACAGTTATCAAGAAGCTCAAGTCAGATTTTAGGAGGTATTTATTTAACAAGAGGCTACTTACTAGCATGATTCCATAAGAGTTATCACTTATTGAAATATAATTATTCTTCTGATAACAATATTAAGAGCTCTAGCTAATTCTGATAACTTGATTGAAACAGATGTAGGTATTATAGATTAATTTCCCATCAACTTTTATATCAAAATACAGTTCAAAATTGTTCACTGTTTTCTCTGCTAGCAAATGAATGTAAACAAGCCTATGCTATTTTCTCTTGTCATTTTTTTTTGTAGTTTGATTCAATAAATCACATTAGAGTAGCTATTGCCAATCTGTTGCTAAATCTCATATGGTTGTTAAAGCTAGAAATTGTATGGCACAAGATATGCATTGCATTTTAATTATTGAATTTTGAAAAAATTTGATTGCTACTTGTTCAGTATTTCTGATTTCACTCTGCCCTTCAGGGCATTCCAAATTGTTGGTCCCAAAACATTTGGTGAGCTGCCACTCAATTTGTGTTTATCATAAGGATGGCCATGTCAATATAAGGGTCAACATTTCATATTTTTTGAATAAATCCTTACAACTCTACCGTACACACCTGCCATGCATACATAAATATTACATACATAATTATTTAAAATCCCATCAATACTTCTGGGACACCCTGTCTAATTGAAGTAGTCTGGTATGTCACATAAAACAAAATATCCATCATTTATGTTAATGGATGCAAGTTTGGCAGCCAATAAGCATTGCAACTTAGAGCATTTCAATAAGGCAACAACTATGTCTAGATCTAAAATTTCTTGTACAAGTACTTATTTGCTGTCGTTACCATGCATGCAGCATTTCATTATCAATATCATAACATATATTGCTTAGGTTTATGAAAAAATATGCAATAACTAATCTAAAGCCAAACAGAGCAAACTTGACTTATGCACTCACACAAACACATTTTTGTACATTTGCTTGTTTGTAGCAAGTACTCATACATCAGCTTACAAAATTGACATTAAATTTGGATGGTCTATTTTTAGGAATCTGGAATTTTTGATGATTGAAGATACACCACAGAAGAATTTTAAACCAATATATAGTCTCCTTATTTAAATGACCAAAGTTTTACGTATAACTGCTTAAATTGTTTTAGAGCTAATGTTTCAAAATTGATTGGTGTAAACATAAATAGGCCTGAAATAACAATGATGGATTTTTAAGTCCAGTTTTCTCCCATTTATTCACAAGTTATGATAAATGTTTCAGTCAAATGTGAGTTCATTCAAAAATAGTACAAATGTAAAAGTTGAAAAAAAGTTTTCTATGCTTAAGGAATTTCCTATCATATTTAGTTATCTGCATTAAACAGATGTATAAATTCATATTTTTCAAACAACCAGTAGTTTCTCCTTGGATTTCTTGATTTTTACACAAAATTCAAAATGTTACCTGCAATTTTTGACAAGAGCAGTAGTGTATATCAAAGCAACAGAACATATCAGTGGGACGTTCTCTAATTTGAAATTGTCAGGCGATAAAACGTTTGCGTGTTTTTCAGGGAATCAATTCAACTAACTTTGACTGGAGATTCATCAGAAACCAAAACACAACCATCTGATGAACGCCTGAAGAAATGTCTAAGTTTACCAAGCTTACAAACCTTGAAGACCTGCGAAGTATGTCACATATTCTATAGCACCTCAACTGTCAGGTGCATTCTGTGTGACAGAAAAATGAATCTCACTGAATCTCCATGCAAGATATGCTCTCTCACCCCTGTAGAAAACTACAGGAACTATGATATTTTGAATTGTGATAGACCACCCATTTGCAAATGCCAGCGAAATAAGTCATTATCTTTAATCAAGAGCCTGAGTTGCTCAGTCGCTCAAAGTAGCGAACCAAGTATAGAGGCCCATATTCCAAAAAATATTAGGACAACTGCCAGTGGTATCAGCGAAAGTAGTAACTACATGTGGGGTGTCAAGAATGTATTGCCTAAGGGGACTTGGACTTGCAAGCAGTGTACTCTGTTGAATAGTGCAGGCTTTGCTGTATGTGAAGCTTGTGAAAATCCGTATACGCCAGATTTCAATAGCAACGTTAAACCCAGTGTATTTATCAAGGTGAGAACATTGTATTTTATCAAATAATTAGCTCTGTGATGCATAAGAATCTGATTACCTTATAACAGGTAAGAGATGTTGTGTTGCAAAAGATTAGGGTCCTTAAAAGGGTTAATTGGCCCTGAAGATAACTCAAATTATAAGTCGATCGCGTTTATGAAATTTAGATAATTCAGAGCATATGTATTTTAAAATTTACTCAACTTTCGTTAGTCCTCAATCATTAACTTTAATTTTTTTACAGACGCCATATTGAAGTTTTTCACAGCTTCATAGAGTTTTTAATTATGATTTCAAAAATGTGTATAGAGTATCTATATTATCTTTGAAATGTCACACAACTCTGACAATAAAAAAAACGTATAGAGTGGTAGAAAACGAGTATTTGCAAACATTTCCTAAACTACTAATTTGCGAAATAGATAACCCTATACAAAACTATCCTTATTTTTATTGCTCAAGATGATGAGATTATAAAAACAACCTCATAATTCTCCATGTTTGTCTGACTGATAAAATTAAACCATACATGTTTAAATTACTATTTGCTGACACTGGGTGACCTTTTTTAAGTACAAATGACAATTCTGTCTGTCTTTGTTTTTTTTTTCGGATTCGCCCATGACCCGCCCCTCCCCCTGGATCCGCGCTTGGATCACTCAAGGGCGGATTCAGGATTTCGTCTAGGGGGGGGGGGTAAACGATAGTTGGGGCTGGTCATTTTTAAACTTCTAGAATTTATCCTATTATTGCTTCTTAAATCCATTGTTATCTATCTGCTCAAGGCCAGCTTGAAAAAAAAACATGGAAAATGCTCAGAAAGCCAATATCTTATTATATGAGAACAAAATATAAGTACGTGACATTTATAATTAACTACTGTAATAATATTAAAGATTCAAACATAAAAAACTCAATTGCTCTATTAACCGAAAATAAATAAATAAAATGTTAGATCATAATTATTTTGATAGTGTATGTTTGTACGAAACAAGAACAGGAATACAGGGCTGTACATATTCATGTATAGTGCAGCAGCTCTGTGATACGCGAGAAGAGATGCGGGACGTGTGGTATTGACTTTGAGCAACGATCGACGCAGTTTCTGGACAGGCCACAGGTGCACTGCTAAAGAAATCTCATAAATGTCTATTTTCAATTTAGGCGTTCATCTAACATAGTGCTTCGCTGCAACACCAACCCCGAACAAAATCTGTCAAGCTTGACACACTTTTTAAATTACTATTGAGCAACAAACAGAACATGATTCACTTTTTAAGTGCAATCTGTATAGCTAATACATATATTACCCAGACGATTTGTCACAAGTCACAATACTCGTATATACGTATAAATCGTAAGAATTGTGCTGTAAACAAGTGATGTCAAAGTGGGACAGCATTTGGAATACTAAAGGATACAAAAAAATCGCAATGCTCAGTTCCTATAGATATAACTTATACTTAGTATCCTCTGTCGCCATGATGTGTCAGAAAGTAACACAATGGTATATTACAAAAGCAAGTGTCATAGGCTTTTTTATGGATCTGCATTTGAGGTTGTTTACCCAAAATTTGGTATTTCTAAAAAACAGTTCGAGTTAAATGGTATACATTAAATGTGTTTAGAATCATGCGGAGATTTGAAAAATTGACTAATAAACAGGATATTCTATTTGAAATAAGCAAATTGGAATCTACTTCCAATACAGTCGGAAGTGCTACTATTTTGAAAATATTTTAGCTGGATTCCTCACATCATTTATACCATAACCCCAAGTTTTTAAAATTTTATTACTTCAACTTTTCGAGTAATCTATCGCTGCAGTTCTACGTACGAGACACTGTATATTTGGCCTTGAGAAGTGACAGATATCGGGGAGTATGACAAATGCTTGGTTCCTGTGGTTCAATGGAATGTTGTAAATGTTGCGCTGTCAAGCGACTCATGGATTCAAGGTGCCTATCCATCCAACAGTCGCCAGAGGCACCCTTGCAACTCACGATTTCAAAGGTGTGATACCGAAGTACCCAAGCTACCATACAAAGCCGGAGCTTGGGCCATAGTTGGCCTTAACTCATCGAATAAAGAACAAGACAATGCTAACTTTTTCATATTATTTAAGGATAGTAGTAACAACATTTAAAAAGGCATTATTTTAAGAAGCCTTTCGTAGTAAGTAAAAGCTTCAACAATGTTGCAGGTTGTTAAAAAATAAAGTTAATGATTGAGGTCAAGAGATACAATGACAGTCTGAAAGTCTAATTATGCTATCTTCTAGATGAGAAGAAGCCGCAATGTTAATGTGCATTTTATTTTAAAATTCCACCTCAAATAAAGTTAGGACAGAATACAAAAAATGTTAGGAAAATTCGTCTATCTCCGGAAATACTCTGAATTATGAAACTTCCTAAGTTCATTTAACCACCTTCGTAACTCCTAACCTTCCCGAGAAATCACTGGCGTTCCATCGTCGACCCGACCACAGCCATTAGTAAGCATTTTGGTAACTAAGACGCTCTAGAGCTACAATTCTGTCATTTGCGATGGCTCCTCGGGAAAGGTCAATTTTGCGCCTCTGACTGCCAACAGTAACACGAACGTGTTTGGTTAGTTGTAAAAAACCTTTACCGTCGTTAAATATAACTACTTAGATAGCTCCGAAATGCATTTTCATTTACTCAAGTAATGATGTAATAAAAACACATATAGATTGTTGAAAGAAAGTCTGTAAACAAACCTCTAGACTTAATAATAAACTGCTTACTAGTGTCAGTGTTCAAAGTTTTATAGATCGCGAACAGAAGAATCCATTTACTTTCCCAAAAGTTTCCATATAAAATACCTTCCAGCATATGTATTATGAAAATTATATGTTGGAGTCCTTTAAAAATAGCAACAGCGCGGAGTCATTAACCTCCAAACTAACAATATTGGCAGGTTTTCTTGTATTTTTTTTTTATTTCAATGTTTCTATTTTAGTATGTTCAGGTTTGGCAAATGTTGTGTCTCAGTTGAGTTATTGAGTGGTGTTACATGGTTGAATTATATTATATATAACGAAATATTAAAATCTTTGTGTCGGAATATATTGAAACTTTTTTAGAATATTTTCGGAATGTTATTTTACTTAAAAAGAATGATTTATAATTTTGTACCACTACCATGCTTTGTTTTGTGCTCATATGTGCGAAAGTATAATCAGATGTATAGTCTGAGATCCCAGGACTGCCAGACGTTACTTATTTCCTGAAGCACAAAGCGTGGTGCATTGCATAGCATATAAACTGTGCATTTCAGAAGGATGTCCACACTCCTTATTTTTTGCGGGCTAAATTAACATGCTGAAATTTGGGATAATGAAATTGACACATGAATATTATATTTCAATATAAAAGTAAGAGTTAAACGTTTAAAAATAGAAAGGGGGTCGAGGAATACCTTATTTTGAAGATCCTTATCAGTAACTTCATAACCGTAGAATACAAAGGCACTATCTTTGAAAATGGCGGACTGGGAAGTTGAGCGTTTTTGTTAATTGAACAACTGATAACTCAACAACTAATCATGTGTTTGCCTTTTTTCTACTGGAATGTTTCATACTTGATTACATATTCGGATTTCCCAAGAAGTTTCAGATAAGTTATGTACCAGTCTATAAAGAAGATGAAGCTAATTCAGCACTTTTTCACTGTGACGCATGTTTATCAGTTAAAAGTATTATATTTCATTTGTCCTTCCTTTGCATTTTATAACGTAGTTTTAAAACAGTCTCGATTCAGAACTCAATCCACGAGCACCTATCTGTACTCGGTTTTCTCGCAAATAAAATTTTTAGAAAGACTTTCGAAAAGAAATGTTATTTAAGTGGCGCAGTCAGTGTGGATTCAAGCCAGTCGGAAAAAGAGACATTTTTCGATTTCGTTTCAACGATTAATTGACTTACGAAACCAACCACGATTGGTCGGACGTGAATGGACAGGATATCGAGTTCGTGATCGTGATCAACGAAACCAAATTGAGGTGGTACCCGATCGAGAAACCGATAGAAGACAGTAACCTATCCAGGTGGTGGTCATCCCAGAAGACCAAACAGAAGGAACATCTGTGCGAAGATAGGAATCCCACCAGCACTGAGGCATACAGGAATGGGACGGAATTGGATTATTACTGTAAGTTCGAATGTCTTACTGGGGTCAAAATAATCAAGAGCTGTTAAGAGGTTCAGGGAGCGAATCTGATTCGGACTCACATACGGATATGGAACATATCAGTCATAGGTTAAGAAATATACAATTGAGGCCTAGTTTATTCGATAATAGAATCAATATGGCCACAAATCAATCAAACCAGTCCAATATGACACTACGCCCGGAGTATCTTAACATGATACCCGAATTTCATGGACAACAAGAACTGTTACCTAGATTTATTGATATTTGCGAAAAGTTAGTAAATAAATTTTATAGAGTAGAGGACGAAAATGACTTTCAGAATGAATATCTGATGAGTAGCAAAAATCAAAGGTAATGCAGCTTTAAATATTAGCAGTAGCAATATAAGTAATTGGGTAGATTTGAAAAATGCACTTTTGAACACTTATCAAGACAAACGTGATGTTTTCACATTAAATATAGAAATTTGTGAATTGAAACAAAGCAATGAATCTCCCTTTGAATTTTACAACAAGGTACAGAGTTTACTAAACTTAAAAGTATCTTTCATTACCACACATATTACAGCTGAAGCAGAAATCATTTGTAATTTTTGTAAAAGCGTAGCATTAAGGGTATTTTTGAAAGGATTAAAGGAGCCTCTTGGTTCACTTATGAGGATAAAGAATCCTCAAGACTTGAATGAAGCTCTAAACATACTAACAAACGATTTCTAACTAGAACAAGATAAACAAAAGGTAGATAAGAATAAGAACAACAACAGGTATAATGCGCAACAACTAGTTCGCCACACTACAAACAATAATTTCAGTACTTATAGAAATC